TAATTTCCGTAGGGCGCATATGAACCTTTGATTGGTCTAGTATTATCAGTGGGGCAAACCATTACTGCCCCAGAGAAAAGGTTTTTCAAACCACCACAGAGGGAAACAGCTCATTATTACCATAGTTGACATTCACAAGATACAGGGGTTAAAGCTCAAAGTCTTTAATCCTCCACTCTGTGAAAGGTTTCCAGCCCCTGGGGACAGACTCTCAGGAGACTCCTCTGGGGATTTCCACCCCTCCTCCCCAGGATCAGAATGTTTAGGGGCTCTCAGTTCAGTTTTTGCCCCAAGCGTTCTACCAGAACTCCTTTGCTCTGTCTCAAACTGCCAACATGGCAAAGGGCGGGGGGAAAGGAAGACCATTTCCCCCGCATTCCTTCTGGCCATCCTGGTCCAGCTCCAGGACATCTCTGCATTTCAGGACTCCCTTCAAATGGAAGTCCACCCCCTCCTTCCAAAAGGGGTCTCAAGGGTTTGGGGAAATAAAGCCAAGTCTCACCCCAAACAGTCTCTACTAAGCTTGGTCCTCTCTCTGTCGGACAGCTCTGTGTCTCCTCAGCTTGGCTCCATGCCGTCTTTGCTGCCTCTCTCTTATCTTCTTGGCTTTCAGTCACAGCTCTCTACTCAGTGCTGCTTATGCTGCCGCTTCAGTGTCTCTGGCTGTCCACTCACAGTGAAGAAATTTCCCCAGCTTTCTTGGCCACAGTACTCGGCCCAGTTTATCACTGTTCCGAGTTTCCGCAGCCCCAGCCAGGGGGGCTCCCTGGCCCCTCTCTCCTCGTGGTCTCAAAACATGGCTGTATGTATGGCCAGTCTTCGCGAACGAAGATTTTGGGAAAGGTCTTTTACCTTTCAAGCCTGCGCAATGGATTTTTTAGGTGAGACACAGCCTGCGCTGAACTGAGCCCACCCTTTAATCCTAAGGTTCATCTGCCGGGGCCAAGCAAGCTTGGACAATGGCAGTGAGGTCCTCAGGACGTAGGTTTGTTTAGAGTGACCTTCTCTTAGATGGATGGCCTTACAGGGCTGATGAGCTCCATCTGCCCGGGAGAGTATCCCTGACCGGGAATCGAACCCGGGCCACGGCGGTGAGAGCGCTGCATCCTAACCACTAGACCACCAGGAGTGCATGGCTACCTCTCTTCCAAATGCATAATCTCTTCTTTTCCTATCTGTTGTGATATGATTAATTTTGCAGGGGCGCTGATTGGATCAACACCAAGAACACCACCCCCTGGAGTTATCCACTTTCTGACTCCAGGGGAAACCCCTTTTTAACCCACGACACTTCTGCAAGGCCCTTACATAGCTTGAGGCAAAACTCAGGATGGTTAACAACCCCCTTGTGTGTATTATCCAACAAGAAGACCTGTGTTCATTAATATTTTTATTATTAGTTGAGACTGCCTACACCCTAGAATGCAGCTGTAATTGACAGCTGAAGTTGTGATTCCTATTGCATTCTCTCCAAATAAAACAAGATCCTAAAATAATCTAATACTGCAGTTATATCTAATCACAAACATGCAGAGCAATAGGAATTCTGTGCTTATTTCACTATGCTTTTAACATGTTTGAAAATGGTGTGGCCTAGGACAGACTTTGTACTTCATCATGAGTGTGCAGGGGAGATGGGAATAATGGCATGGCACCATGAGTTGGTTAATAGCCATCTCATCGGTGATACCTCGTTTTACTGAAATGGAACAGAGCATCCTGGCTCCCTGCATATAACTTTTCCTTGAAGAATGTTAATGGTTTCTTGTTCTGTTTCAGGTAGTTTTCAGACCCCAGTAACAATCCGCTCTGATACTCTGTGTAAATGAGAAGGAGGGCAGATTCGACCTATTCAGAAGACTAGTTCAGAGTGTACCCTGGGAAACAATCCTTGAAAACAAAGGGGTCCAGGAGGGATGGACGTACTTCAAGAAGCAAGTTTTGAAAGCACAGGAACAGGCTGTCCCAGTGTGCCAAAAGGCGAGCCGGTGGGGAAGACGACCGGTCTGGCTGAACAGGGAGATTTTGAAAGAAATTAGGGTAAAGAAGAGAGCCTACCGATTATGGAAAAAAGGGCTGACTACTCAGGAAGAATTTAGGAATATAGTTAGGTCATGTAGAAAGAAAATTAGAGAGACGAAGGCACAACTTGAACTGAATCTCGCCACCTCTGTGAAGGATAACAAGAAGTCCTTCTACAGATACATCAATAACAAAAGGAGGGGCAAGGAAAACCTCCATTCTTTACTGGACATGGGTGGGAATATAGTTATCAAAGATGAGGAAAAGGCTGAGGTATTTAACACCTTCTTTGTCTCAGTTTTCAACAGTAAGACAGGTTGTCCTGAGGACAGCTGGCTTCTGGAGCTTGTAGAAAGAAATAAGAATCTGAACAGCCCCCCTGTAATCCAGAAGGAAACAGTTAGAAACCTACTGAGCTGCTTGGATCCCCACAAGTCTATGGGACCAGACGGGATCCATCCTAGGGTGATGAGGGAGCTGGCAGAAGAGCTCGCCAAATCTCTCTCCATCATCTATCAACAGTCCTGGCTCACTGGGGAGGTCCCAGATGACTGGAAGTTGGCGAATGTCACGCCGATCCACAAAAAGGGCTGGAAGGAGGACCTGGGAAACTACAGGCCCGTCAACCTGACCTCAGTGCCTGGCAAGGTTATGGAGCAGATCATCCTGAGTGCAATCACACAGCACCTACAGGATGGACAAGGGATCAGACCCAGCCAGTACGGGTTTAGGAGGGGCAGGTCCTGTCTGACCAACCTGATCTCCTTTTATGATCAGGTGACCTGCCTGGTGGATGAGGGGAAGGCTGTGGATGTGGTCTATCTGGACTTCAGCAAAGCCTTTGACACCATCTCCCATAGCATTCTCCTGAAAAAGCTGGCAGCCCAAGGCTTGGACAGGGGCACTCTGTGCTGGGTTAGGAACTGGCTGGAGGGCCGAGCCCAGAGAGTGGTGGTGAACAGTGCTGCATCCAGTTGGCAGCCGGTCACTAGTGGTGTCCACCAGGGATCAGTGTTGGGCCCAGTTCTGTTTAATATCTTTATTGATGATTTAGATGAGGGGATTGATCCACCATCAGCAAATTTGCAGATGACACTAAGCTGGGAGGGAGTATCGATCAGCTAGAAGGCAGGAGGGCTCTGCAGAGGGGCCTGTTCAGGCTGGAGAGTTGGGCTGATTCCAACGGGATGAGGTTCAACAAGGCCAAGTGCCGGGTCCTCCACTTTGGCCACAACAACCCCATGCAGCACTACAGGCTGGGCACAGAGTGGCTGGAGAGCAGCCAGGCAGAAAGGGACCTGGGAATTTGGATTGACAGGAAGCTGAACATGAGCCAGCAGTGTGCCCAGGTGGCCAAGAAGGCCAATGGCATCCTGACCTGGATCAGGAACAGTGTGGCTAACAGGTCCAAGGAAGTGATTCTTCCCTTGTGCTCAGCCCTGGTGAGGCCACACCTAGAGTACTGTGTCCAGTGCTGGGCCCCTCAGTTCAGGAAGGATATTGAGGTGCTGGAGCAGGTCCAGAGGAGAGCAACTAGGCTGGTGAAGGGACTGGAGCACAAGTCCTCTGAGGAGAGGCTGAGGGAGCTGGGGCTGTTCAGCCTGGAGAAGAGGAGGCTCAGGGGAGACCTCATCACTCTCTACAACTCCCTGAAAGGAGGTTGTAGCCAGGTGGGGGTTGGTCTCTTTTCCCAGGCAGCTATCAGCAAGACAAGAGGGCATGGTCTTAAGCTGTGCCAGAGGACGTTTAGGTTAGTTATTAGAAAGAATTTCTTTACAGAGAAGGTAATCAGACATTGAAATGGGCTGCCCAGGGAAGTGGTGGATTCTCCGTCCATGGAGGTTTTTAAGATGAGAGTGGATGTGGCACTTAGTGCCATGGTCTAGTAACCACAGCAGTAGTGGATCAAGGGTTGGACTTGATGATCTCGGAGGTCCCTTCCAACCCAGCTGATTCTATGATTCTATGAGATAGGAGCAAAGAAATTCACCTACCCAGGGCAAATGTTATTCAGGAAAGCCACAAAGTTGGAGGAGAAGAAAGATACTTAAAAAAAAAAGTAGCGAGCACATGATTAAATCATCTAAAAATGACCTGTGATATTTGGTGTTGAGTGGTACAGGAGGATAAAGAATAGAGACAGAGGGGTGGAGCCCAAAAAGGATTTAGGTTTGGCAGCAGGCTAAATACTGGCCCCCAGGCTACATTCCCACATGATACTGACAGGTCTCACCTCTCCACAGGCAACTAACATGTGGCTGAGTATTACTGGCATTCAGGAAATATAAAACAATGTGTAGGGACTTGTCTAACTTGACCAATAGGTGTGCAAAAGACAGGATGCCTCTTAACCCTGACCTTCTCTGAGATGCAGGTGCTTTGGAGTAGATATCAGGGAAATGCCTCTAGGCTCTGCTGAGCCTTATCCTTGAATATGCTCCTGTGCCAGCCTTGTCCTACAAAATCCAGGTGAAGGGTTATGTAATAACTCAGATCTTGGACCCATCCAGAAGAAAAGTGTGAGATCAGATTGCAATTTCTCTGTTGTAGAATGGAAATGCAGATACTAATCTGCAAAGTTGTAAATACTGTACTGCAATTAGTATGTCTTTCTGCACTCATCTCAGTGCTTTAAGGTTAAACTTTTCTTTGTTTCCTGAGCCTATGACAACCAGTTAAAATACTAACACTTCAGTTTTACTATTAAAGACACAGAACAAACAATATGTATTTTTCTACATTTGCAAGCCCTTCTGACTAGGAGTCTTGTAAAGTAATGATGAATCTCCCCAGTTTTTTAATTTCTCTTCACTCCTGTAAAAAACATATTTGTAATATCTCATCTTTTCCTGGTAACAATAGGAAATCAGAGAAGTCCCTCAAGCAGAGTGCATTAAAGGTGACAGAACAACGATCTTGAAGAGACCTCATCAAACACACACAATATTCAGCATTAATTCAGTGTCCATTTTGATTCATTGCAGATGGACAGGAAATAAGGCCTGAGTGACAACTTTATTTGGTAAGTTGCTGCTGAAAATTTTATGAAATGATGCAACATATGTGCAAAATAGTGGGGCTTTTCATTAGCAATGCTTGATAAGATACAGTGAAAATGTAATTTTCATTAGCTATTTGTCAATAAAAGGCATGAAAAATAATTGAAATTAAAACCTTGCTCTGCATAATTCTGCCTTTGTGTTTGCAGAAGAACCCTTATCACAATACCTTTTAATAATATGGAACACCTATTGCAGCATTTGTTTTGTCCCATGATGCTGGGAATACTAATTGTTCTCTTCATTTTGCCTTCAGCCAAAACTCCCATTTGTGATGTGGAGCATTATCTTTTCCGGTATTCTTACATCAGTGGTGTCTATGAAACATCTGGCAATTCCATTGCTGTGGACACTATTTTAGCCAAAGGTGCATTTTCACATGCAGACTCTCAATTGCTTTCATAAAAGCTGGCATGTGTGCAATGGCTTGTGTCCCATGAAAGGACATTTGTATTGTACCTTATGCTGAATTAAAACCAGCAGAGAGAGTCAGAGATAAAAAAGGTGAGGAGAGTGCACAGCCCCAGGGCGCTATAATGAATATCATTCTCATAGAAGATGTCATTACTGCTGGCATTTGAGATTGAAAATAGGAAAAGTTATAATAAACCTCTCTCATAATAATAGTAATAACAATCCTGTAGAATAATTTTTAAATTAACCTTATTAGTAAATTCATTTAGGTTTAGTTATTTCCCTGATTCCCAGAAGAGGAATTCTTTAGAGGGCTAACGCCAGCAATGTGTTTCCTCCTTTTCTGACAGCTTTCCTTGAACTCTACACGGAAATCAATTTACCTCCTCATTCTTCATAGAGGTGGCAGCTTCTACGTAGAAATACTCCTTTAAACAGAAGCCAATTAAAGGGCTGGCAAACTGTTTTCAGAAAAGAAAGCTGCCTGTTCCAAAGTACTGAATACCAGAGCCAACTACAGAAGAAAAACCAAAAAACAATTTTGTTTTTCCAATTTAAAAACAAAACCATCCTGGTGCAAGATGCTTCTAAGTGACATGGGGCTAAAGGAAGACACCATAGTTAAATACAGAATAATAAAAATTTTCCTTGGCTTTCTGTAGTAGCACACAATTATCTGTGAGCAATGCTACAAGGCAACCAGTAAGCAGGGCACTTAATAAAACCCAAACAACTGTCACATGTAGGTTATAAGGTTATTTCTCAAACATAAATAAACTGGAAATCCATCCGATGGCTGGAATTTGAGAAAGTGTTATGAAGTTTACCACAAAATAAAAAATGTGTTTCACATGCTATTTTATTTCTCAAGGGCATTTTGCTAAACATATGCATATATTGTCACAGCTTACCCACAAAAAAAAAAAGAAATTTGTATCACAGGGATTTTAAAGATGAAGTGTTCTTTAATTGCATGGTATTTTATTATTATATAATCACAACAAAAATGTACAATTATACAATGATGCAGCTCATGGTGCATTTGATAGCTTTTTCCTGATTCAAAATAGTGTAGGTAAATTTTATTATTGCCTCATGGAAGATAAAACTGAAACACAGAATTCAAGGTCAAAGGCCATAATGATTTACTGGTTCCATAAGTGAAGCATCCAAATCCAAGTTCAGTGCAATAAATGAGTAGCTGGGCTTCAATGTAATATTCTCCTGCAGATCAGCATTTGGCTGCCACCCTTTGTGCCTTTTGAGCTCAGCAGAGGCCGCAGATGTTCAGCATCTCTGAAAACCAGCATTTCCTGATTCACACTTTAGGCACTCAAATTCAAGCCTCTTGTTTTAAATTAGACTCTTAAAATTTCCTGGAGGGGATGGCTGAATGGATCAGAAGCAGCAACCCCATTACTTTAACCGCTGACCAAGGGCATGCAGAACAGCCCTTGTGCCAAGGGAACCTTGGTATTGGTTTTCCCAGGGGCTGCCCTAACTTCCAGGGACCTACATCGTAATGGCATTGTCCTGATGGTATCTGCCACAATTCAACTGAACATATGAAGTCAATTTTTCACCAAACACTTTGGCTTCCTATTTACGCTGGACTGGCATGGGGAAGTGTTGCCTCTATTCACAATAAAGGCAAATATAGCCTGAGGCCTGGCTGTCTGGAATTCCACTTTTCACCTCATGAACATCCATGACAACTGGGATCATATTGAGTGCTTGTGCTAGCAATCCTCATATTTCAGTGGGTCTTCTAAAGAAAGAAGCCTCCACATTCTTGGAAGCAACCTAAATTCAGGTGCCTTTCCACCCAGTGGGACATGAGATGCTTCCTTTCTCTGAGATGGGAGGGGAGTTGGCAAGGATCTCATTCCAATTATCTTTCAGTCTTTTGCCTTTAAAAGGAGACAGAACTTTGTGCATTTTATTAAATTGCACCGAAGTAAGTCACTAGGGCACCTTCAGTGAATCTAAAAATAAATGAAATAAAAATTGCTTTTGAGAAGGCTATCAAAATGCCAGCCATGCATAGATCTGTCCCTGAATACTATGTGACATGGAGTTATGCAGCGCTGATTTGAATCTTCTTAGAGACAAGATAGGAAACCACCTTAACAGATGGCACTTGTGCAGCCCAGAATAACCAGGCTGCCTCTGATACAGGTCTGCTGGTCTCTCCTCCCTGTGCTCCTCACAGAGGGTCACTGTGAACGCTGCTGTATCACATCTCGCTGTAACATGTCATTTTGACACTGTACAGAATTCAATAAAGCAAAAGGTCTGATGGGCCCACCAGATACCCTAAAAATGGTAAATGATAGAGGGAGAGAAGAGCTTTACTGCCCACAAGCTTCTGTTTATATAGCTGGAAAGGGAAAACAGAAGTCCATAGGAAAGCCAATTTCCTAATAAGATGAGAAAGTACAATGTTACAGAACCTTCCAAGCATTCTTTCAGTGTACCATGTATATCTTTAGGAGTGCAAGCAATAGAAAGAGTGGGAGACAAAAGGGGATTCAAGGAGGAGGAGAAAGAGACCCACCTCTGCAATTCTCTAGGCCCCCCACCTTGCCACAGCTGCTTTGCGCTCCACACCACGGATACATGTAAAACCCTGGAGCTGAAATCCAAGCATGAGTAATAAGGACTTTTTCAGCACTATACCATTTCAGACACTTAGATACAATGCACATTGTGAATGATTGCCAGGATCAATGAAGAGATCTTGCCATGGCCTCCACAACCAACAGGGTAGAACAGGAACTTCCTGTGCCCTTGGGAGCTCCCATTTTGATTAAACATTTGAGAAATTTCCCAAAAGACTACTACACTCAATCAATATGACATTGCTTCAACTAATGAAAATCTTTTAACATTCAACATCCTTTGAATCATGGATTAGAGAGGGCAGGTTAGTTCAGATACTGAACTACATTTTAAATTACATAATTATCTAGTAACATCACTGTATATATTAGAACACCTATTTTCAATGAAAAACCCCAATGTTTTTGAAATTCTATTTTAAAAGCTGTAAAAACTGATTATTTTAGTATTTTGAAGTATTTTGAAAGCTTAAACAAGCTTTCAGGCTTGCTAACATCAGTCAAATTCAATTGCATATTCTTTAACACAGAAAAATAAATGAATACACCATGTGATTATTACTGACATCTAAAAATCTTGAAGTTAAGGTAGTCATAGCATAACTACTTACACAACTGTATTTATTGCTAGATTTCATTGTCAGTAAAATATTTTTCTATCATATGAAATATGTATATTTCATTATATAAAACAAATTTCTAAAGTAAATTTGATAAAGGCAAATTAATTAATAAATTTTCTAGTCTTTACTTTCCTTTTTTAGATTACAAAAAATCTTACCTGGGGTTTTGTTACTGTACTAACTGTTCACATATTTAATGTTTGTGTTTTATTTTCCTTGTGTGACAATTAAAATGTTGTGGCTTACAGAAATATGTTAGATATACTGGTAAGACACTGCCAAATATTTTCACAAAAATCTCATGTAAAGCTCTAATGTGTAAAATTCTTCTTATATTGTAGCCTACCACAGTAACATTTACAAATCCATTTTAATCCAAGTCCCCCACGGCTAATCTTAAATTTGACATTAGTAGGTTATGTCATTGACTGAGGTACTATATTTTTACCAAACTATGTGGTACTAACTTTTTTGGAGTAAAAGCTTAAAAGGTCTCAAGAATTAAGTTTGAGTTTGGGTCTTGTTTGTTTCGGAGTGGAATGTTCTTAAGGAAAAGAAAATGAACAGAGAGAAGATGATGCTGAGCCCAGTTTTTGCACCTAAGTGGGTATGGGCATAGGAAGGCCATTTCCTGTCACAATATTTGTATTACAGAATCACAGAATGGGTCAGGTTGAGAGGGATCACAGCTGATCATCTGGTCCAACCTCCCTGCTCAAGCAGGGTCATCCTTGAGCACCTGGCACAGAATTGCATCCAGACAGCTCTTGAATACCTTCAGTGAGGGAGACTCCACAACTTCTCTGGGCAACCTGTTCCCGTGCCTGGTCACTCCACAGTAAAGAAGTTCTTCCTCATATTCAGATGGAATTTCCCATTCATCAGGTTCTGCCTGTTGCCTAATAAGTCTAATAAGACTGACACAGGTAAAAAAGGTGAGCTTTATCCTAAAATCATTAGATCTGCATTTAAAGTTCAGGAATTTTTTAGATAAGATTGAGAACCAAGAATAGTTGGAGTTATGCCTTATTTTTCAGCTGTATACATTCTGTAAAGTAAGTTTTATTTCTCTTTTTTTTTTTTTGTGCAAAATGCATATTTTAGAATATAAAAAAATAGGGGGAGAAAATACTTTCCATATTTATACTACATGCTGTAACTCATGGACTCCCAGCATTTTGTATCTCAGCTTCCGCCTCTAAACATGTTCTGAAATAAAATACCAGACATGAATCAGATTGAGATCCAGGTCTACTTTACATATTTGGAAGAACTGTAGAGAAAAGGCTAGGAATTGAAGGGCAGATCTGACAACTCTTTTGGGGAAGCTCCCTGGAGAGGTGGAGGAAAAGGAAGAGGAAAACTCTTAGATGTTCAAATCAAAGGGATTTTTCTGCCTGAAATAAAGTAAATGTGAGCATACAGATTATTTTCATGAATTAAAATGGTTAGAATATCAACTGCAAGTAGACCTGATTTGATCAAGAGATCACTGAATTCAAACTTTTTTGGCCCTTACATGAAATGAACCACAAAGAAGAAGCAGTACCTTTTCCCTTATTACGGTTACAGCATAACTTGAACATAATTTTTTGTAGAACAGTGTCAGCTATAACTTACCACACACAAAAAAAGGTGTTCTCTAAAAAAATAATGCAAGTCTATATCAGGGAATTGTACAGATCACACCTTGACTGTCAGCCTAGACATGATCTATAGATATATCAAATTCTTCTCATGGGGAAGTATTTTATGTCATGTCAAATTTTGCCTGGCCTTGTACAAGGATACAAGTCAATGCAAGAAGCACTGTACTCTGAATTTAATTTCTTTCATGGAGCTAGGTAAAAGACTATCTCACCAATAAGCAGCACTTCCCAGCTGTCTTGGACCCTGTAAGACCATTCATTTGCTGGTCTAACGATCTCATGTTTGTTCTGCACTACATTCTTGCTGGACTTTCAGTCAGAGTGTCTCTCCAAGTTCTTGAAAACTGCAGTAAGCATGAACCACGAATGTTTAACAATGAATAGTGTAAAAATCTGGGATAGATGAAATAGAGGAAGGAAGAACAAAAGAATCATTAGGACAATAAAGTGATGAAGACATGATAAAATAGATAAAAATGTAAATAGGAAACACAAATTCTCATATTAAACTTCTGCAGCAAAATTGGTAGCAGCATAATCAGGTCATCACAGAAACATAGTTATGAAGCCTTTGTACAACACTCACACAGCTGAAATTCAAGGGACATCTCATCATTGGTTCAGGTCCACAACATGGAATTTGCTAACATTGTGAAAGGCACATGTGCAACAAATACATCGCCTCCTTTCCTCCACCCATACTGACAGTGTCCAATGCCAAAGTCACTTCACTATAGGTTGTAACTGAGGGATATTTTGAGAAAAATCTTCTACAGGGTGGAGTTGACACTGCGGAAACACAAAGCCTCACAGGTCTCAGAGCTTTTGCAGCTCTTTTTTTTTTTTTAAAGGCTATGTTACCTTAATTCTAATAATTTGCCTTTCTTGCATATGTTCCCGTCCAAATGCCTCTGATCTGTTCTTTTTCCTCCAAAAGCAGAGGCAGAAACTGTGAGGACTAAGACGAAGGACATCAATTTCTCACTATTGACTGATGCAGAAGATTGTAAGCATGGGCCTGATATGCAGGTGGTAATAGGCATGAAGAATATGAGGTAAAACCACACAAGAATATGAAGTAAAAATATCCTGCTTTTCTGTGTAGCTGAGTAAATAGTCTCCTTGTTAAAACAACTTTTTCCTCATAACACTACAGTTTTCCATTATAAAACATATCCTTCAGTGAGTCAGTTTTCCCAGATGTCACATCAAGAATTTCAGTTGGCCTGTGAAACATGGCTAGTGAATACACCTGTGGAAAAAAGCATCCCTGGAGCACTAAATAGGTTATCAGGTCACTGTTAAGCTTAACTCTCACTTATTCTTTCTCCTTTTCAAAATTTCACTTCAAAAGTTTCTATCAGCTTACTAGATTTTATTAATTAATTTTATTAATTTATTTAATGTTTATAGTTGTTAAAGCTTTTAGTGGAATAATTTTAAAATATGCTTTCAGGGTCACTTTGTTTCTATTAAGCTTTTAAAATAGATTAAATCCAGGGTCACTGCTTTCTGAATACAAAACCAGATCTTGCCTGTGAAGCCAAAAACAATTTAAAACATATGAAAAGCAGTAGAATTAATCCGTCCAGAACCAAAAGAAAGACTGTATTTATAGCAGCTGATTTATTTGTTTGATATACAGTATGTGCTCTGGTTTATAATTTTAAGGTGTGTGAAAAGGGTCACATTATATATTACAAAAATAGCGAGGCAATGATTTACAAGACTTCACATTGTGCCTATTGACCTTCTCAATAAGAAAGGTTGGTGGTTGTAACAGCACTGAAAAATTAAACCCATGGGAGTCAATTTAATGTAGTATAAACTCTTTAACAACCAGCAAAATAGCCATATCAGCTGTTTTATCTGCAGGTTATGTTTCAGTTGTAAAATGCAGTTTTTAATAAAAAGTGCACAAGCTTTCTTTGTTCTACAAAGCTTGTGTTTCCTCCTCTGTTGAAGCATAGGATCCCTATCTTTCTTGTGGCAAAAATAGAAGTATTGTGTTATAACTGGTCCCCTCAGTGGGAGAAGAAAGAAAACAAAGAAAGAAACTGCTTAACAGCAGTGCAAGTCATTTTGTCCAGTTTCCTCCTAAAAATTAATCTCTGAGCTCTGAAGAAAAGATGTACATCTGTTGGTCCTTTGTTGTGGACAAATACATTAGTCTGTCCACAAGGAAAACTATATTAGTCCATGTACAGCTTGAAATAATCAATACCTAGACTTAGCAATTGGGCAATGCTTCATGTTAACACACTCCCTGTGAAAACAAGAGGTTAAGGGCAAGAAATCTCTTTTAATTATCAGAACTGTGTGTCATGGAGATTACAAAAATAATGGCATTTGAACACATCTAAGGCATTGTCAGGTAAATGAAAGACAAAACACATTCAAACTGTGATGTTCCTTATAATTTACCTCATTTTTTGCAGGATTATCTGGCTGCCTCAGTAACTTGCAGAAATGGAAGCTGGTGAGAAAGATAAAATCTTTTCTTATCTTTGGCTTATCATCCCTAGGATGTTCACCTCATCCACTTTTTGTAAAGAATCAGACAAAAATTAGCCTAGGGGTACACAGAGATGGCTGAAACTCTCTTCTAAAACAAAACAAAAGCTATCAGCAAAACAATGCAGGTAACATATCAGGTATTCTGATTCTGGCTTATACCTTAGGATGGGCCTTCCAGAGAGAAAGTTAATGACAGACAGGCAATGTTGGAGCTATAACTAGTACCTTTTGGCAGTTGGAAGGGTGCCGTGGTGTATTTTGGTTTTCTTAACAAAAGAGGGCCCTTCTTCCAGCTGCTACTATAATGATTAGTGAAATGTGGAAGCTCATTAAAGGCTCATGCATTACACTAGAATTTATTTTACTGATTAAAGTAGCAAGTGGCAAGATAGTTAAGAGCAAGAAGATTGGTGTTTGTGCAGAAGCATATGAGAGACACGAATAAGGCGATCTGCATAATACACTCTGGTGGGAGTTCCTTTTCAATTTAGCTCATCTACATGGGAAGTTCATTATGGTATTTCCTTTATAACTTACATCTCTTCCAGAGTAGCAGAATAAAACAATTGATGGTGCAGTAGTAGACATCTTTTTTACGTCTTCATATGAGAGATTGGTAAACGTTCTGTCTCTAATTCTCATTCCAGTTTCATATTGCATAAGAAAAGAATGGATCTCTTCAGAGAGTGTTTTAAGTCATAGTTTGGTGTGCTATGTACTGTAGACTCTCCACACATACATTTTAAGTCCTACTCAATCTGTTGATTATAATGCCCTGGAGAGACAAAATGGGTTAATATTTCAGCACTGTGCCCTATTAATGGTTAACAATTTCGTTGGAACACGATATTCCCATACTGATAATCAATGAGGTGAAGTAGCAGGGTTGATTGTATTAGCTTGCCAAAAAAGATATAGGCACAGTTACTGGAGCCTTGATAATGGTTAGAATTAAGGAAGTACCATAAAATAATAGATGTCTCTTTGTGCGTTTCCTGATTCTAAGATATTTGTTGGATCTGAGAAAATACCATAAAAGACAGGTGGAAATATCTATTACATCTAGCCAGCATTAGCAGCAGGAGAGCAGGCTGTACTATTGCTGGGACATGAGGAAAGCAAATCTAGATGAAAAAAATTCCCAATTACTAAGGATGTTTTTCTAAAACTCACATGTGTTTGTCATCCTAGTGAAGCAAAACTAAGTTAAAATTCTACTAAAGTGGTGGTTTCAACACCAGCTTTGAAGAAGTGCACGTGGCCATCTCAAAGAAAAGATGAGAGGAATTAGACTCTCAAGTTCTTTACCGCATTGATAAATAGTATTTTAAGACGGTTATCAAGGAATTATTTTCCTTCCCCCTTCACTGTTGTTAGCTCAGAATTTTCAAAGAAACATTCAAGCAGTATCTGAATCTTTGCAAAGCAGAATCAACCTGTATATCACTAACATTGTCTGGAGTCAAGTGAGCAATGAAAGAGATCCTATTTGTTTTGAAACGTCTGTCTAAATGTGTCCAGAGGTAGGTTTACAACCTTTTGTACCTGAGTTCCCTACATTGCAAGCACCTAAATATAACTCCCCAAAACCTATCAGAAAGGCATCCCAAGCACTCAGCCTGAACTGCTTAGGTCAAAGATTAAAGAGAGAAAACAGGGCAAAAGCAACTCCAGAAGAGTTGTATTAAGGGTCCTGGTGTTCCTGACCACATGACTTGTGGAGATAGAGTATTTCTAATCATTTGCTGTCCTGTCACCACAGGAAGCTCATGCTAGTCCTTATGAATTTTCACAAACCAGTGCAGACCAATCTTGTGGAAGGTCATGTAAAAAAAAATTCAATAATGAAGCAACTGGGACAGTATCCTGACATTTGTGATAATAAATATTATCAACAACATCAGCTAGAGCTCAGAGAAACATCTGAATTTCACATGTCAAAACTGCTAGTGAGAAGTACTGGAAAATCTTTTAGACTGACATTTTCCTGGGAGAGACAATCAGGTCCAGGAATCCTTGTGCCTTGAACATAATTCAATATTGTCTCCATCCTTCTTCTCCTCGATCACAGAAATTAGAGCCGGAGGAGACCCCCAAGTCGCCAGGCTGCTATACATTTTCAAGCCTGTCCCAGTCCTCAGTTAATGAAAGAAAGTCCATGCAATGACACTTGTACCATTTCTTTCAGGAGACAATTTCATACCCTTAAGGGAGGGGAAAAAAAACTCTCTTGCACGATTCTTCAATGGCCCCTAACAGCAGTGGCTGGTAATATAAAGTGCTGCTGTACTGAGAGCTGGAAGCAAATTACATCTGCTTTACAATTTCCAGTGGTGTAACTTAAGTGAACACAATGTGGAGTGACATACAATCTGGCCCCTAGGATTTCACTTAAGAAAAGTGCTGTAGCAATTGAATGTCTCTACTTTTTGCTTTCTCTTTTCACTTCTTTTAGAGATGCTGTCCATCTGAAGTCTAAAGCCCTTGCAGGAGCTTTAGTCATATATCACATCAACCAACTGAGCAGAGGTAGAAAAGTCTCAAGACTGTTTTGACTAAGATATTTCCAAAGGCACAGCCCTGGTTTCTTCAAGAACTTTGCAAACCAATAAATAAGAGAGATAAATATACAGGAGTGGAAAATCAAATAGAAAAATAATTTTAGATCTGCTAATAGCCATCTTCCAGTCTATAGCAGCAAACCTCCTACTAAGGCCAAGACAAAGGATTCAAAAATAGGAAAAGAAAAAAAAAAGCTGACGTTCAACATTGTAGCCAATACACTGAGTAGAATGAGTTTAATAAATGATATCCTGTTTGTGTTCTCCAGTCACAGTTATATTTCCCATGTCCCTGAATCCATAAACAATTCAGGTTATGGACATGGAAATCCTATTCAAACTTACAAACGGCTTCAGTTCTCCTAATTTCAAAGCATACCTCTTTCTTATGGTTTTTGACACAAGTTGAACAAAATATCAGATATGGGAAGAAAATCACAAGCAATTGAGTCTCCATAATTAGCTTCCATAGGTTTACATTTGTCATTGAGCTGCAGTGGCTGGCTGTATGTGTGCATGTCTGTAGGTGGAACATAAAAGCATTAGCTTAAATCATTGCAAAGGTCAGAGTTGCAATTTGTATAAGTAACATTGAGATGAGGCTCAGTAAAATAAAATATTTATTTCTTATACAAACCACCTCAATAATTTCAGCTCACACATTTTACTCCACGCTTGCAACAGACAAATAGCATTCACGCAATTAGGTAGCACAGCTTATCTGCCGGCTGGTAACTCCTTACATCTCAGTAATTTGGTTTCCAGCAATAGCCCTGTTATATCCAGAGTTTGGAAGAAGCAGGGGGCAGGCTTCCCATAGACTGAATGCTATGAAACCTTTGCAAAAAGAGAGCATGGAACATTTCTTACTCTTCTTAATCTGACACATCTTTCCAGCCCAGTGCTCTCACATAAGGGACTGAATCATACACTGAGCAAGAGGGGTCAGCCAATACCTGCATGGCTTGCTCTCACATAGCTTTATGCCATGAACACTGAAGCATATCTGGTTTCTTTATTTATAAATCACTGAAGGTATGCTAGATGAGTAATCAGAGCCAAATAAAACCTGCTGGTTTTACAAGTTGGGATTACTGGCTGAAGCTTTCTTATTTCGCCTCTAAACACTGAGGCAAGACTTGGGATAGCTTTAGTGATGATTACCATGCCACAATGCAAGCTGTCAAATCTGCTATAACCAGGGGTTAAAATAATACATACTCCGTATCGAGTAATTGCTATAAATGCCTTGAGGTGTAAAAGTATTGTCTGAGTTGTTGTAAATAATGTGGCTGGATTTAACTGCAACTTGATACGTCTGTTCTGTTTGGGGGGATTTTTCCACACATCCTGGCCCCAAGTGTCTTTTCAGGTCTGCTCTTCAGTCAATGTAAGCCACAAAAGCAACAATAGCTCCACATGCAGTATACAAACATCCGGGTCAATCTGAGAGCAAAGCTCAACTGAAGGATATAAATGAAGTATATTACTATGATAAATAAAAGTAGTCTACATTAACACAAGCTTGACTGATAGCAAGTACATTTCCAAGACACAGGGTCAAGCGCTGTGCATCAGTGAGGCTGAGGAGCTAAATGAGATGCACTGCTGCAAGCAACTTAAGAGATAAAGATCCCCAAACAGGCTATAATAAAATCATCTTGACAGTACATTTTCTGTTCCTATTTTCAAATCTTTGCTGTCACTGTCAAAGGAAGTGCTATTTCTTTCCTGTTATGACTATTTTTCAACAGGCACCTAGAATTGGTAGTCTTTGTTTAGTTTCATCATTGCAACTTGGTCCCCTATTCGATTCTTTCATCTCTGCAATACTTACTGTCAAACAAATGTTCTTTAAAAAAATACATGAGTTTCTTTATCTATAGTATACCAATATTCAAAGTTTGTATATAGAAGACACATCCTTTGGAAATATACAGTAAGAGTCATTCCTGATGGAACCCTTACTTTTTTAAGTTTTGTATGTAGTTTGTATGCAGTAGTGAGCCGAGTTCTGACAAGGACTAATTTCATATAGTGTAACTCTGTGCAGACAGTGAGCATTTCATTCATGAATCTACCTGCTAGGTTGGTTTTCAGTGAGGGTCCCTGGACTACTGTGAAAACAGAGCCACTGCGCAAAATGCAGGCATAGCTTATGTTCGAGCACTTGGGATCTTGATGCAGGAGTCAGCACTAAGCTGAGTATCAAGAATTGCCCTCGGGAGGATTACAGTGCAGAGAAGAACAGTGAGAAAAACCTGGTCAAAGACTAGACAACAAACAAACAAGCCCAACAAAAACTACAAAAGAAAAAAAAACCAACACACAATAGGGACAGTCAAAAGAGTATGGAAAAAGTGGTACAGAAAGGAGTGGGAGGCACAACTTGTTCTTTATCTGATTTCTTTTCCCATCATTTCATAGGAGAATGAGGAAAGTATGATGAAATGATAAACAGCAACTCACAAGTCTTCTGTATTTGGAGTGCAAATGACTAGTGACATAGGATGTTCCATTAAATGATGTCCATGAAAAGCAAGCACATAGTGAATCATTCATCCACACAGGCTTGCAATAGGATTGTTGCAGAACTCATCTCTGGGCTGATATCACTGCTATTTAATGTAGTTTCTAGCAAGCAATTTATCATATTTATGGCTACATCTAATCCTTTTGACTATGTCCTTTTTTTAAAAGTTCTCCTAAAGAAAGGCTATTCCACAGCTTTATGAAGCTATGAACTGGAGAATAATGCATGACCTAAAGCAAATGGGGGTGAATGATGCCCACATTATACTGGTAATCCGGACCTATCAAAGAACTGCCAATACGTCAAGCACTGTTGACCAACTTTGCCATGCCTATAGATTCTGGAATAGGTAACAAAATGCAATTGAAGGTGCATGGCCAAGGTTCCCATCATGTTATCGTATCAATCCTATCAATATTCTCAACAAATATGTGTACTTGCATCGCTTTTTGAAAACAGAAGTCATGTCTGCGCTACAAGGACC